CTTCCATTCTGCCTTGTACAATCATTTTTTGTCATTGAGCAGCTACAGCTTGTTTTAAAAACCAAAATCACACTGATGCTCCATCTTAAAAACTCTCGAGTGCCTTCCCATTGTACCTGGAAAGAAATCCTGACTCCCAGCTTTGGCCTCACAGGGCAAGGCTCTGGCTGCTTACTGACCACCCATCACATCATTTTGCCCCTGCTCCACCATGCTCGGCAACGCCAGCTGGTTTTGCCTGAGGCCTTCTGCACTTGCTGTTCTCTTCTTGCCACAGTGCTTGCCTCCAGGTGGTTTTAATGTCCACTCGCATTCCTCAGCCTTCCCTGCCTGGTCACTCACTCTAAAGTAGCCGCCTCATCATCTTTAGCACATAATCCCCTTTACATTCTCTGCCGAGCCCTTCTCACACTCTGATGGTAACTTGTCCATTGTTCGCTTTCCCCACATGAATGTTCCTTCCATGAGAACAGGTATCTTGATCTGTTTATCTCCAAAGTCCACCCTCTTCGTTATACTTGGCAGGTCACTTCACTTGTTTTAGCTGCAGTATGAAACAAGAGAAAAACAAAACAAGGCAGTGGGGTTGGACTTGGTTAGTGGTTCTCTGCTCTGATTGTTCATAGGCCTCTCCTGGGAAGCTTTAAAAAGCACACAGAAGCTCTAAGGATTCTAACTTAGGTCCTGGTATGCTTTAAAACTCACCCTGTGATTCTAAAGGACACGTGGGTTGAGTGAGAATGCCTGGTTGAGACCAGTGCTTCTCAAACCTGAACATGCACCTGTATCACCTGGGGATTGTGTTAAAATACAGATTCTGATTACACAGGTCTGGGGTGGGGCCTGACATGCTGCATTTCTATCAAGCTTCCAGGTGAGGCTGATGTGCTGGTCCATGGACCACACTTTCAGTGGTGAGGGTCTGAGTGATCTCTAGGTTTCCGTCCCCTTTAGCAAACTGTGGGGAAAGCAGTTCTAAAACACAGGTGTTCTGTATTCACCAAGCATCCTGCATGCCAAAGTCTCGTTCATCTTTCTCTGTTACAAATAAGCAGTGTTTTTGTTGGTGATCCAAATATGGGAAAGCCAAAATGAATAATGATGTGATATGGAGATGAGGCATGGACTCTGCAATGGGTTCATATCCCAGTTCTGTTTCTTACCGGCTGTGCCAGTGTAGGCCACTTACTTAAACTTTCCGAGCCTTAATTGCCTCAACTCCAAAATTGGGATAATAAGCCCTTCTTATCTCATAGAGGACTAAATGGGTTAAAACATACGAAGCACTTTGCACACAATAGGTGTCAAATAAATGGCAATGCTGTGATCTTGGTGGACTTTGCAAACTGGTCTAATCTTGTTATCCAGTTCCCTGCAGGCCACAGGAACCTTGATCTGTGCCGGCTGCAAGGATCATCAAACAGATCAGAGTCTGCCTTTGATCTCAATGTCAGGTGACATGATGACATAAGAAATGTCAAGGCACACAGAGCCTTCAGACCAGCGTTTCTGTCCTTGCCTAGAGAATGACAGGGGCTGAGAAACCCTTTATTTTCTCCTTTCTCTAGATTGTTAGAATATCTCCCCATATCTGTTCCATGCCTACCTGTGCAATTTCCCCAGTGATTTTTGGTAAAAAGACAGAAAACCTTAATCCTTAAAGTGTTGACTTCACTGCTGCAATCAGACTAGTCTGTTAGTAATTTGTTCAATCATATATTAACTGAGTGCCCAGCTGCCAGGGACCCAGGGATGAACAAAAACTTCATAGTCTCTATTACCCTGAAGGTTGTCGAGGGGAGGCAGGTGCTGAACAAATAAAATATACAATTGCAATTGTGGTGCTTTGAAGGAAAAGAACAGAGTGCTCTGAAAGAGAATATTGAAGCTCCACGGCACCATTCATTTTCATTTCAAAAGAGCCTTCTGATTGCTACGGGTATTATGGACTGGAGCAGGCAGGAGGGAGGAGGGCAAGCCATCAGGGGCCCTTCCAGTGGTTTGTTCCAGGCCGTGGCAGTGGAGATGGGGATCGAGTTCCCTTCATTATCGTGAAATGTTGGCTCATAGATTTAATAGTTTTATAATTTTTCCCCTTTTACTTAATACAGAAGACACTGTATCATCATAGAAAATTCTAACTAGGAGTATGGTTTTGGGCCAGTGGATTCCTCTCTGTAGGTTTTTTTATTTATTTTTATTTTTTTTGAGACAGAGTCTTGCTTTGTTGCCCAGGCTAGAGTGAGTGCCATGGCGTCAGCCTAGCTCACAGCAACCTCAAAACCCTGCTCAAGCAATCCTTCTGCCTCAGCCTCCCAGTAGCTGGGACTCAGGCATGCACCACCATGCCCGGCTAATTTTTCTATATATATATTGGCTAATTAATTTCTTTCTAGTTTACTAGAGAGAGACGGGGTCTAGCTCTCTTGCTCAGGCTGTTCGAACTCCTGACCTCGAGCAATCTGCGCCTCAGAGCCTCCAGAGTGCTAGGATTACAGGTGTGAGCCACCGCACCAGACCGTGTAGGTCTTATTTATTTATTCTGTAAATGATAGTAGTGGTGGGTGTTGGTGTCAATGGGGTGTAAAGTTCTTTCTGCCTTGCCATTTGGGGACTCTTAAGACAAATGAACAGCGGTCATAAATAGAAAATTTTAAGCTTCAATGGGCTAGGCACGCACAGTGGCTCACACCTGTGATCCCAGCACTTTGGGAGGCGGAGGCGGGAGGATTGCTTGAGGCTAGGAGTTCAAGGTTGCGGTGAGCTAAGATCGTGCCACTGCACTCCAGCCTGGGTGACAGAGCTAGAGAATGTCTCCTAAAAAAAAAAAAAAAAAAGAAAGAAAGAAAAGAAATTTTAAGCTTCAAATTAGTAGTATAAACAGAAAGCTTAACAATACAGAGAATTAGATTTCCTATCCTTTAAGCACTCTTGCCTTCCTTTTCACAAGTCAACCTCCCAAAGTGCTGGGATTACAGGCATGAGCCACCATGCCCGGCTGCATTTTTTTTTAATATGCTGCTTAGTGGACCAAGTAATGAATTTTGACAAATGCCTATCATTATATTTTAAATTGCATTTGCAATTGAACATATAAAAAGGCATTTCAATACATAATCTTTTTTGCTGTTTTCACTTCCTCATTTTTACATTTTTTATTTTTGAGACAGTCTTGCTCTGTCACTTCAGCTAGAATGCAGTGGCGTCATCATAGCTCACAGCAATCTCAAACTCCTGGGCTTAAGTGATCCCTAGCCTCAGCCTCCCAAGTAGCTGGGATTTGGGAGTACAGCAGATGCCACTGCGCCCACCTAATTTTTCTATTTTTAGAAGAGATGGGGGTCTTACTTTTGTTTTAGGCTGGTCTCAAACTCCTGAGTACAAGCGATCCTCTGGCCTTGGCCTCTAAGAGTGCTAGGATTACAGGCATGAGCCACCATACCTGGCCTTTTACTTCCTCTTAAAACAGGGAACAACCTGGGGATTTTTGCTTATTTTCTGGCAGAAAATTTTAAGCAAGTCAGAGCCTCTATAGACTTATGTTTCCACATTTTTGGTGACAGATATTAAAGGAACTCTGGAAAACAAGGGAGGCCGAGGCGGGCAGATTGCTCGAGGTCAGGAGTTCGAAACCAGCCTGAGCAAGAGCGAGACCCCCGTCTCTACTATAAATAGAAAGAAATTAATTGGCCAACTAATATATATAGAAAAAATTAGCCGGGCATGGTGGTGCATGCCTGTAGTCCCAGCTACTGGGGAGGCTGAGGCAGAAGGATTGCTTGAGCCCAGGAGATTGAGGTTGCTGTGAGCTAGGCTTACGCCACGGCACTCACTCTAGCCTGGGCAACAAAGCGAGACTGTGTCTCAAAAAAAAAAAAAAAGTTCAGAGTTTTGTTGCCTACAACTTTATTTTCATTTGTTGAGTTGTAGAAGCATGTTTAAGTGGGGAGTTATGAAGCCTGAATTCTAGAATCAGTGCTGCCACTAATGCACTGTGTGGCTGCTGGCCTATTCCTTTACCTCTTTGGGCTGACATTTTGTGCTTTTGGAGAAATTTGTGTTCACTACTTCTTCATGGTCTTTTGTTTATAGCTTTACCCTTTGTTGACCAATCAGCCCCAACTTCGTCCATCACAAATACAAGAGGGTAAGATGTGGACGAGAAGTGATGCTGCCAAGCTAGCCAGTTTACACACACAGAACCTTGCCTGGGTGCTGTGCAGGCTCCTGACAGCCCTACCTGGACTAGCTCTGCCCATGAGGGTCAAAGTCTATCTGCACCTGGGTCCTAGTTTCACCTCCATAGATCCCTCTGTTCTGGCTGGAAATGTGACTTTCTTAGTGATAAGAGTTGTGCTTTCCATTCATCCACCAAAATTGTTTTAAGTACCTACTTTTTTTGCGGGGTATTGTTTTTCACTTTTATTTGAAAAATAGCCTAGAAGATAAGTTACTTTAGCAATTCCTTAAGTGCCAGAATTCTATGCTGGCTAGAAAGGTACCACTGTATTTCAAAAACCAAAAACAACTCTAGAGCCATCACTTCCACCTGGTGCTATGCTAATGAAATTGGGCCACTGAGGTAAGCAGTCTTCAATCCTTACTGAACATGTGGGGCTAATCTGAATTCTTTTGAAAGTTTAGGGTTGGGACTGAGGGTGTGGGTCGCATGGATCAACCCCAGTACTCTGGACATCAGCACTAGCTAAGTCTCTTCCTTCTGATTCTGCAAGCAGGAGCAATCCTCCTCTTACACAAGTGCTGGACTGCCAAACAAGGACAGCGCCGGGGAGGAGACCTGCAACACCAATGACTGACATGAGCTGGGACCCCAGTGCTGCCACTGGCCTGCACCATGACGTTGGGCTGATGACTCTTTCCCACGCGGCTACAGTGAAAGCTCCAACTGCAGAGGTAGTGAAGAAGCTTCATTGCACCTGCACTCTATTGAGTCAATGCACAATAAATACACAGGCTTCAATTAGGAAAAGGAAGCACAATATTCATTTTTGGAAAATATTTATTAAAAAACTAAAGTGAATGTGGCAGAAAACAAAAACAAAACCAACACGTACCTTTAAATAGCAAGCATAGGACACACTGGTTATATAAAGCTTTCCCAATCCTACCGATCTAGTCTTTCACACCAGCTACAGTCAGGCAGGGCTTCTCAGGGAAGCCAAGTGTAAACAGGTCATCTGTACCAGTGGTGAGCGGAAACTAATGACGTGAGCATTGTCAATGGCCATGTGACTTGCTTTCCTGGGCCGTCCACCCAAAACACAAGAGTGACCAAACCTCTTCAGTGTGTTCACGAGGATCTACAGTTCTAGTTTTAATTTGAGGGTGGGGGGGATGTTAGGGGATGAAATAGAAAGACAAACAGTATCAGCTGAGGGCAATCTTAAAGCACCTTTAAAATCTGGACTCTTTCCCACAATTTAACCCAGTAATTCGCAAACTTTCCTGTTGAAAAGAATCACCTGATGAGATTGTTAAAGTCACAGGCTCCCTACGTCTGCAATTTTAAGATGAGCACTCCAGGTGATTCTAGGCATATTGGCCAGCCATCCCATCTGAGAGACACTATTTAAAATGCACCAAAACAATTCCTACCCGCTAAAAAACACAAGTAAAGGGGTCTGCTGGCTGTCACTGTGCTTTTGTCAATGTCGAGTGGCTGATGGAGGGAGGCGGACAGGAAGGAGCCTCCAATTTCTAACATGCTCATCTGCAGCAGCCCTGAGCAACCTGTCAAGTGTTGTTTCAGGAAGTAAGAAAGATTTAATGATAGAGTTGATTTTAGATAACAGAACAGCCTCTGGATCATCGATGGGCCAACCCCATTCATCCCAGGTTAATGAACTTTGTTGGGCCGATGCCAGATGGGAAGCTGCTGTTCAAATGAAACACGGGGAATCGTGGGTCCCTTGTGAAGGGTCCCTTGTGAAGACATATGGACTAAAACATCTATAAAAATCTTTATTAAACATAGAGCACTATGCCCAAATAATTTTGATGGTTTATGAAAGCCACACGGTGCATCACGGACAACATGTAGAAATCGTCACATTGATTCCAAGGTTCCCATTATCTGCAAAAAGATGTGCTATGGCTGTGTCAAAAACAAGGCAGTCACTGTTCATGATGGCTGCGGCCACACCATCGTGAATGGACCGGGGCGTGGCCTCCCAGGTCAGTCTCCGCCGGTTCCCATTCAATTCCAGTCTGTAGGCAAAGTTCTCGGCTTGCTTGCGGGTGCCGATGAGCAGGACGATGGCGAAAAACTGCTGGTGGCCTTCGTACTTCTCTTGTTTCTCCAGCACCAGCATGAAGTGATGGCCGAAACATGACTGCATCATCACCCAGTCGACGGCCCCCGGCAGGTTAATGTCTGTAGCTAGAAAGACGATGTCTTCTCCCTGAAGGGTGGTAATGCTCTTGTGGGCATGCATGAGATGGGACATCACGGCTTCCAGGGACCCCTGCCACTTGCAGGAAGCACCAGGACAAGGGCAGGAGTAGGGACGGTATTCACAGATGTCTTCATGTTCTGGCTTCTCCGTATGGTGCAGGGTCAGGGAACAGCCCGTCGTGGCATACTGCAGAGACAGAAGGAAATACACTGAGCCATCGGCCTTCTCAAAACGTCTCTTGGTGCGACCCTCTAAGACTGCTGGGAATGCCCACTCAGGTTTCCTGGGCTTAAACTGTATTCTTATCTCAACTACTTTTGTTCAAGATGAGTGAAATATTCAAAACTAAACATCTCAGTCATATTCATCATCAGTGTTGTCATGCATGAAATCAAGGGCATTTCCTGAACCAAGGTGTTGGGCAAAGAATATTATATTACCTCCAGGCTAGTTTTCACATAAAGACAATTTCAAAAATAGTATAATTCTTTCTGTTGTCCCCCTAACTCCTTCCTGGTTCAAACTGGTGACTGGCAGGCAGGCCGGCCGTGGGGAAGGCTGGAATGACTAGGCTAGGGCAGAGGAGGGCTGGAGACCCCTTCACACTGCTAGAAATATTACCCACCTTCTCCTTTTAACCTTTTCTCTGGGAGGTTTTGCCCGTAGTTTTTGGGTGGAAGGAGATCACATCCAAGAAGACTGCTTGTCACTTTGATTCCAGCCAATGGAGGTTCAGATGAGAAAGGCCTAAGCCCTTTCTTGCCCCAGACCACTTCCTCAAGTCCAAGGGCATGCCACTTCACAACCAGGTACGTCAGGCTGTTAGGACAGGCCCAGAAGGGAGGGGTACTGGACGAGTTTGCTGACACAGTCAGTCTGCCCCTCAGACGCTGCTTTAATAGGGTAAGAACGAAACCTTATTCTTGCTGCACTCAGGATGGCAACCCGAGGGATAAATCACACTCAGCGTAGCAAGAGACCACACCAAGGAAGTGGACTTTTGCTCCCAGCTCTCACAAGAATGACAAAGTTAATTCCTAGATACCAGATGGAGAATCAACCCACAAGTAGACACTTGCCCAGAGTACTATGTTGTCTTGTAAAGAATTAAGAAACCTGAATCACCTTTTCAAGTGAAACCAGGTGTCAGCCTTATAGCCCTGGAGCACAGAGTGGCAGGTAAACTGTCTGGCTTACGACACTTGAATGTCCCCCATTCCCTGAGACATGAATGCACCAAATAAGGCCAGGGCCAGGTCATTTTTCTAAGAGGCTAAAAAAAAAAAATATTCAATTGCTAAAAAATCCCCCAAAACGAAAACACCACAGTAGATTTGCTTCTCCATACCCTGACTTATAGAATAACCTCCTTGTAAACCTTAAGAAGGTCAAATGCTAATCTTGACAGATGAATTTATCACCAACAACAAGCAGGTACTGAGCACCTTCTCCATGCAAGACGCTAAGCTGTAGTCACTCGGAGGATACAGGAGCAAAGATGACAGCCTCCACTCAGAGAGATTAGTCTCCTCTAATCAGGAAGAAGAGTGGCTTAAAGAAAGAAATGCAGCTCATACCTCCCCACATCCCCCGTACCTAAAGCGGATTATAATCTTCAGTAGAAATTGGAAGAAATATTTCACTCTTACTTTGCCCACAGGAATTGTTTGTTCATCTTTTTTAAACCATGCACTAATTTTTAAAGCCTGGGTGTAAAAATACTTAATCAGGAGAAACACATTTATTTATCCACGTATATTTACACTTTGTGTTCCTAACTTTATAAACCACCCCCTCCAAAAAAAAAAAAAAAACAAACCCCAAATCCCTGTTAACTGTGTTTTAAATCTAGGATGTAGCCAGGAATACAGAGCCTTCTGATATTCTTGCCTGAAAGATGGGTGAGGCATTTCTGTCCAGAGTTTAAAAACACACAGTAAAAATAGCAAGAACTAGCCCAGAGCCTGGCAGATTCTCTGGCTGAAACAAGCCCTCACTACCCGAAGACGGTTCAGAATGAGCTGTTCGCCACGGCTGCCCAGGAATCATCCCAGGAACAAGATGAACTTAGGCCAGTGGCACACAGAAAAGTACCACCTGCACTTCTTCCCAAAGCTCCGAACCACCCCTTATTCATGGACTCAACATCTACGACAAATATGTACCATCTAGCAATCATTTTAGAACTTTTCCCAGTCAAGTAGGAAAATTTATATTTGGAATTATTTGGTTTGCTTTACAAGTCACACAGTCAACAGTTCCTTCAACACAAATATGGAGAACAGGGAACCTCCCTGGACTACACAAACAGAAAAGGCATTACTTTGCATTTGTGTGGACAATGACATTATGAAAAAAGATCTTGCTACATTTTGTATTAAATACATTTTTAAAGCCTTAGGTACGGTACTTACTCTGCTTTTTCTAAACAAGCTGAACTTTAATGCCTATTTCTCTCTTTCTATCATGGGTAAGGTTTGTGTCTTCATGACCACTGGGGCCACTTTTATGATGGCTGGATTAGAGAAAAGATCTACTTTAAACACACATACACATACACAGTCTCCCGTGCTGTTTCATACTTACAAGAGTCTTGGAGTGGTTCTGGAAAGACATTCCAGAGCACGATGGGTGTCCCTGTCACCTTCATCAGGGGCTCTCATCCAGGGATCAGAGAGAGGGCTTTAGGGGTCTGTGAGTTCCCCAAGACTGTATGTAAAACTGTCTAGGTGCCTCTGAGCAAAGCCAAATCTCACCAGTCCCTGGCCTAGGGTTTGTGTTTTCTTGAAAAACTCCAAGGGTTTCTGAAGGTTGCTAGGGGCACAAACCTCTATGCTGGAGCACACAGAGGGACTCAGCTGTGGGTCCTGCCCTTGCGGTGTTCCAGTTAAGAGGGGCCATAGAATAAACTTAACAACAAACAACTCAAATGCGTCAGAAACGAAGTTGACTGTGCACAAGAAAACCAGAAGGGCGACAGGTGATTTCAAAGTGGGGCAGGGTGAAGAAAAAAGGGGTGAGGGCAGCTTTGCTATGGACAGCTGGACTGTGGATGGAGTTGTCCCATGTGGTTCTAGCACTGGGGAAACAGCGGGGATAAAAGCTAAAGGAGAAGGCAGGGACTTCACAAACAATTCAGTTTATTTTCAGGTTTTCTCCGCTGGCACTACTGACATTTGGACCAGATAATTCTTTGTTGTGGGGTTGTGCTGTGTATCGTAGGATGTTTAGAAGCATCTCTGGCCTCTATTCATTAGATGCCAGCGGTAACCATGCCCTGCCCCTCAGTTGTGACAACGAGAAATGTCTCCAAGCATGGCCAAGTGTCTCCTAGGGGCAAAATCGCTCTGGGCGAGAACCACTGATTCTGAGGAGAACCGCTAATTCCAATTCTGAATAAGGACAAAACCCGGCTTCTGGGCAGCCACAGTCACAGCTGGGAGGAGCCCACGCCAGCAAGCAGGTCCAGCAGGTCACTGCCCCGCCCACTGGGCACTGCCAGGACAACTTTGAGAATGCCCGCCCTGACACACAGCCAGAATCTGGCTGCTGGCAAAGCGTGGGGATAGACCAGGGAGCTGGTTCTACCCGTTTTACCGACTCGAAGCTGGAGGCTCCCAGAGCGTGACTAACTGGTCAGTGCCTCGTGGTCAGTTGTGGCCACACCAGGAATAGAGCCCTACGTTCCCAGGCTGCCCCTCCAGGGCTCTCTCACAGCACACCGCAGCTCAGGAGTCAAACAAAGAATATTTTGAGAAAAGGGAACAGAATATCTGCCTTCATCCACAGCCCCAACCCAACACATACAAAACTCAGAGTCCACAGATACACTGCTTTTGGAAGTAGGTTCTAATATTAACTTCTTCCTTGGCGTGCAAGCAGAAAAACAGCCCTGAAAGCACCACTCCCTTAGGAATAAGGCAGCAGCACCTCACAAATAAGTAACCAGCCATCAGGTCCTCCCGGCCTTCTCTGGCATCAGGCAAAAAGTCCTCAGGTTTCACTTTTCACACTCTGGCTAGGGCTGGGCCCTCCAAATGTGATGGGGTCAAGGGACTTCTGTGTTTGAGCTTTCCAGGGAGGGCTTTCCTTTAGACACCTGGTCCTTAGCTGTGGCCTCTTGTTACTGAGAGAAAGCACCAGGGCTGGTTTGCAGAGGCTGCCTGTGTATCTTGGGACAAGTTCACAGCTATAAATGAGATTTCTCCCCAGGGAAATATCTGCTCATTTCCCCCAGGGGGAATTAAAGTAACTCTCTAAAGAAAGCACACACACTTACACACATACACACAGAGAAATGCAAAGTTAAGGAACATAGGGAGGTGGAAGATGATCCAGCAGAATGAGAAAAAAAATGTTGAAATCCCATTTCTGACTTTTTAAGGAACTTTTCATGTTGAAATGGCTCAAAAGTCTTGTGCAAATGTGTTCTGCCATTGAAAGGCAATGAGTAATCTGGAGCCTTATTTTTTAAGTCTTTACAGAAAGCAGTAAATAGTTCCCATTCTTTCCCTGGGCTTGGGGTTTGAAGGTTGTATTTAAGTTGGAATTTAGGCAGGGTTTTTCTCGTTTCGGCATACAAACCCTTTCACATACAGATACAAAGAGATACGTCAGAACATGAGACACATTCAAACATGAGACACCTGTTATTTACCTAATAAACACAGTCACATTACATCTGCTTATGAAATGAGTATAGAAGCAAAACAAATAACCCTTCTTGGCTGGGGTGCTAGTGAAGGCCATGGATGCAGTGAGTGGTTTAGACCAAGTCATTTAATCTCATTAAGTTTGATTCCACACAATTCAAGAACGATCTGCTGAACTCCAACAATCAACAATGCACTACAATGGAGGTGCCATGCACTCCCCGGTAGAGGCTCGTCCCTCTCGGGAACTATGAGGTAACCACCCTGCCTAGACCTGCTTATCTCCTAGGAAACAGTTGAAATTTATTAGCAAAATATCTACCAGTGCCTCAAATGAGAATGTCTCAAGAAAAACAAAGCACAATCAATATTTTGTGTTAATGATCATAGACTTGGGAATTAAATCCAAGAAATGACCTTGTCTTGAAGTAAAAGCAAACCGTGCTTTCCTTCAATCTAAGTAAGCTGTAATGATCACAAAACGCACACTGGCTGCTAATGTGATGCATGACCCTGGCCCGAGAAACCAAAATT